TTGCCCCACTGTAAATATTAAAGTATTATGTGAAAGAGAAGCAATTTCCACAAAAAGTAGAATAATGCTGTGGATCTCCCACCTATACAACCTTATCTGTTTCAAGGGACTAGTCAAACTTTAAAAGAATTTTTCTGGTTACAATGTAACACAGAATGGTTAGCAACTCCCCCTTCTTGCCAGTTAAAATAACCTTTTAATTTTTATTTTAAAAAATACTCCAATTATCTTGAGATTTCATTTGAAAATTCCAGAATCTTAGAAGATCTCACATAAGAATGAGAAAATCGTGATTGATCATGTTAAATTTCAGCTTTCCCACATGGTACTTTACAAAAGGAGACTGCAAGCATCTTGTGATTAATGATTTTGAGAAATTTGGGACATTTACTTTTTCTTTTTTGGTGTCTGAGCCAGAGCCATTTTTTTAGCAATGAGTTTCAGTACTCAAGAGGAATCCCTTCCCTATTTATTATTTTTATAAGTGGTACCAAAAGGAATGAACAGCTGGACATGTATTTCTTATAAGAATTAAACTGTCTTAAAATATATTGAATGGGGAAGTGGGTACTTTAGTATTCCTTTCTTCAAATAAGTACATGAATCATACTCAGCTGGGAGAGGAGACACTGCCAATTATTTTTATTTTCTAAATTACAGGGAAATTGTCCACAAGGTCTCATCTTGCTGTCTGTCATCTGATGTGTGATAATGCACAGGAAATGAATGCTCAAATAAGAGGGTAAAGAACCTCACAGGATTTTCAAAATGGAGGTATTCTTCTAAGCAGAAGAAAACAGACATACTATGAAAAAGTATACGAAGTTAGAATAATGTCTCATCTTAAATCAAGGTTTTTAAATGTTTCCTGCTAGATTTAATCCTCAAAAATGGTACTACAAATAACAAATCAGATTTAATTGTATGTATATGTGGTGCATATTTCACCCGTGAGTTGAGGTCAACTCCTGGTGATAGCATCCATGAAATCTTCTCAACAGGGTTGTATAATTGATGACACTTCCTTCTTCCAAAATTTTCTTTTCTACTTTTCCACCCATCCAATACCCTTGATAAATTACAGGTAATCCCCAATCCAAGCAATAACTTGGATTAACTCTACTGAGTTTTGGAGATCAATCAAGGTTGTCTAGGAGCTGCCATCTGCTGAGAATGAAAGCAATAACATTGTCTAATTACAAGACACTCCAAGCAACTCCATTTTGGACCTAACATAAACTCTCTGATGTTTGGAGAACTTTCAGATTTTATCTGAGATATATTTAAGCTTTATGTGGTATGGTACAGACTCTCATGACCACATCTGTCCCTATTATTTTTACATTTCTTTGTCTCCACATACAAAGCCTATGACAATGGGATGTTATATTGGTTAAGAAGGGACAGAACAAGACACTGATATACCACAAGAATGTGAGATGTAAGAGAGACCAGGATTAAAGAACAGGATTACTTTGAGAGAGACCAGGATTAAAGAAAAACTAACTGAAGTGCTTATGCAGGTTGAATGCAGTGCTTTCATGTAACATCATGTTAAAAATAATTTTCAAATTGTTTTTTTTTAAGTTGGGGTATTTCTATTTATCTGTTTTAATTTGTAAAATAAGTAAATTGACTTCTCAAAGTATCTCAATGTTTCTTTTTTCTCCTCTTGGTCACAGGTAATGTGTCACTCTGCTGGTACTTTTCTGAAGACATTTTTTGCATATGCTTCTTGTTCTATCATAAAAGTTCTTTGTAAAGTATTTGGCAAATCTGAATTTTTAAATTTTCAAAGATATGACCTTGCAAATATGTTGGACCACAACTTCCATAATTTTCAAAGCATTGGGAAGTGGCAGATTGGGAAAGGCTGCTTTTGAGTATAAATCTTCAGGATTAGGCATTTGTTTGTCATCTTCAACTATGGTCATTGTGTTTTTACTCCACTGAAATCTCTGGGGCAAACTAACCTTCAGATGGAAATAAACGTGGGCTTCCTATTCTATGTATGTTATGGTGTTGCCATGCTCAAGTGCTCTGAATACTGAAAAAGGCTTATGAATGGATCTATTGTTGGGAAAAGTATGTGCTTTTCAAAGGAAATTGTTCAATGCATTCTTCTATATTAAAGAAATGTACTGTAATCTGCAAGAGTTTGAAAGGCGTGAAGCCACCAAGCGAATAAACAAACCAGCTGGAATACACTATGTTTTCATCTGGCTTTATTGAGATTTCCTACAATAGAATATTTGCTAGAGCTATCAGTATAAACATGTGATGAATGAAATCTTTAGGGCTTTTTTGAGTGCAGAAACAAGTCTCTGGTTACTTTCTTTCCTCAACATTTTATGTACTTATCTCTGAGAGCTGAACCAAATGTTAAATGCCAATTTCAAAACAAGTGATTAATATCTTTTTATTTCTGTTCCACCATTAGTTTATAATGAGATGTTCTTTTAATAGAAAGAACACACTCTAAATATTAATGCAAAACAGCAGTCTATTCATGTGCCCACTAAAGGCAGTGATATTCCTGGTTGGGTTTGCTTGTAATCTGTGACCTTGCTAAAAATTAATTTTCTGATTGTACGCACTGAAACACAGACACCCTATTGAGTCATTTGTCAATGCATGTCTGCTACTTACATCAGAAGCTGATACAGAATTGGATTGGTTTTATTTACAGGCTTGTCTTAGGATATTTCCTAATGTATTGAAATATTATAAAATGCTACAGATGTAACCTGGAAACAATGCATTCCTTTCTGGTCAAAATAAGGAAGTGGAGGAATTGCTCATATTTATTGCAGGAATGTTGTGTATGTTGGTCAAATGTTAAGAAGGAAAATGGATGGAAAATTTTTAACCTGTGAAAATGCTGGTAGACAGTTAATAAGTTGACCACACTGGGAATGGTTGCTTGAAAAGTGTGTATTGTAAAACAAGAAAAGATATAGTCAAGAATGTATGGATGCTGAATGAATGTAGACTGAATGTACAAGGGAATGATCATTGTGAAAGAAGTACACTGAAGTGATGTGGTCATTTTGAGAGAATGAATGAGGACCAAAATGCAAAATAAGTATATGAAGGAAGAATGAGGGGGAGGAACAAGAAGGTTGTGGCTGGATGGAGCTGGCCCTCAAAAAAGAAAGCTTTAAAGAAGAAAAGGCAATGTAGAATTGGCGCATAAACATCAATGTCATCAAGGGGGTGAGGCTTCATTAACACTCCCACAACTGCCATCTTGACTTTTTTGAGCCCTTCCCCCAAACATCATTAATCAGCATGGTGATAGCAAGGATGGTTTGCAAGGACAGAAAAGTAGGAATAGTTCTAAAGATGATGGGGTACACTTAGCTATATTTCTCTTCCTTCTTATCTCATATCAAATCCTCTACCAGGAACTGAACTCATGTATTTTTGTGATTTAATGTGGATCGTATTGTAACTTTATTATATGCTTCTCTTAAATATTTACCTTCTCAGATCTTGCCATTTTAAGGTGTTTTTGAACACATGTTTAGCACTTACCAGAGCAATGCAGAATTCTTAAGAAAACTTTTTAAAAACCTGAATAAATCAAAACTGTCCTTTATAATACCTATAAATTTTCCCAATGTCATTATAAATAAATACCTCGAATAATAAAGATTGACATGCATATTTCCTGTTTCCATTTCACATGTCCTTCATGCATTATGAAAGTAAGATATGTCTTTCAAGCATATTACTGAAACTTGTTTTTCTTTGCTTCATTTAGCGGTTAATTATTCAAACCTGATCTAATGAAGATTTAAATTCTCAATAGTCTCTTAATCCTATAGCAGCCATATGTTTTGCTTACTGCAACATCCGATTGAAAAAGAGAGAAACCAGGACCATTTAGAAACCTCTGGACAGCAACAGGAAGAAATGTTTCTATCAGTGGGGGAAAAATTAGAAGTTTATTCAGGCAGAGCGAACTTCCATATGGCTGGCAGCTTTACTTCTCCCAAAAAGTCATACTTTTTCTTAAAGTAATGAAGTGTAAAATAACTAGAGGGACCTGAAAAATTGGAGAGAATTCTGAGGATGAAATTCCTTTCCAATCCTTCTAAAGGGATGGGAATCATCCTGGAGAGATCTTCTTCAGGAAGACTTCCAGCTCATATCCAGAAAGTATACAAACTAGGTGAGAACATGTTCTGTTTTCACTGTTTCACACATACCACACTTTTTAAATCTGGCTGAAAGCTCTTGTTTAAATACTTTCAACACAGGATAAACACACGCTTAACAGTCTGACTAGCTAACACCCTTAAAATATTTGATCACTCCATTCTGCAAAGTTTACCCATTACTTTCTTTAGGGCTGATGGTACCCCTGTTTGAAAGGCATTTTGTTTCAACTGCTTCATACTACTTTTTTCATTTCTTTCTCTTCATAGTTCCTGTGACTTTTTTCTGTGCAATCGTACAGTGGGGCTTTTCCAAGAAAATAGGCTGCTGTTACCACATTTCAAGAAGATGATTTTTCCAGGAACTTCTCACTGTCGCTGCAAAGCTGCAAAGCCTGGCACTTTGCCATGCCTGGCACACTTACATGAAGAGGAAGCATTTTCCTTTTGGCATGAATGACTTCCTTGCTTTCAAACACCCTTCAAAATCCTCTTGTCCTACAGCATTGTTAATAAATACAGTTACTGCATTTAACCTACAAACAAGGTAAGGAAAGTTAGCATAGTGTGGCTTCTGAAATTCTTTCCAGCTCTTTCAAGATAGCTCCACTCTAGGTGACATGACAAGGAAGGGAGAGGGAGAGGCTTAGAATGAAACAGTCAGCAACATTTTGAGCCAATGCCCAACTGCCTTTCCCATAGGGAGGGACTGGAGAAATCTTTTTCTCTGCAGGTCCCAGCTGGATCTGACCTATTTTTAACTCAGTCTTTCTTTTGCAGATTTCTGAATCACATTCATCCAAAACTTAACCAAGATTGTATGGGCACCACATGTAAACAAACATCAGAGACTGGCAGGGTTAGGAATTTGCCAGTGTTCCCAAAACAGCAGAAGGTTCATTGTCTCGCCATTTCCATTTTGCTCTTGGTATCCAAGATCACACACAGCTAAAATGCACTCCCAGATTCTATCATCCATTCCTGCTTTCAACTACAAATTTCAGTCTGCAGTTTACCTACTACAGAACTTTATTACTCACTAAAAGGCAACGTGCAAAAAGCAGATTAAATAGGGGCTAACAGTTTCTTTGGAAACTGCCCCATCTTTCTTGTAAATGTGTAAAGGTACTTAGAAAACTATGAAATCCATTGTATGTTATTTCAAAATAACTATGTTAAGACATGGAATGAAGTTTAAAAAGATATGTTGAGATGGGAGAAATTACAACTGTCATTGCTGGGGAGAATGTCTGTGATAAAAATGAACATCTTGCCTAGAATGATGTTTTTGTTTCAGACAATACCTGTTTTGACAACTGATGCACCATTTAAACAGTGGCAGAAGGATATATCTAAATTTCTGTGCTGAGGAAAAAACGAGTTAAATATAAGGTGTTACAAGATGCAGAGGAAAGAGGAGGACTGGGTTTACCTGATTTGAA